CACTTTTTGATATCTTTCAAAAGAAGTGAGATATATAGGCTCAAAGTGGACGATCCGGGTGTCGTTCTATTAGAGGTTTTACGGTACGTATAATTAGATATACAGTGCCGGGTATACGAAAAAATTGTTTTAAGGTATAGGTACACAAAAAAGTATTTTTAGTTGCTAGTCTCCAATCATTTTCAAACTTTTGGAGGGCGTATAACAGACCTAGATTGAGAATCCTTCATTCAAAGATTTTTTGTGAAGTCATTTTATATTAGGTTGGAAGTAAAGTAACTGCCCATTTTTTAATTAGTAAATAAAACAAAATCAAGATTAATCCACGATTGACAGTATATGCCGTCGTGGTCCACAACATGTTGTCAACATTTAGGTAACCTGTGGATACCATCCTTCCAAAAGCTAGCTGGCCGCGAATCAAAGTAATACTGTAGTACATTTTTTTCTCATCGATAATGTTATAGTCCTTAAGCTCCAGATGGAGTCGTTTATTTCCAAGTAACTAATAATCTGATAGAACATAATCAGAACTTTCACGGAGGTGAAGGAGAACCGTCCAGCCAAAGCGGCTCAGGTACGACGTGACTTTCCGTGAACATTTAATTTAATTTGTTTATTGATCAGGTGTAATAAAACATTAGAGGACAGGACATGAAAGACTCAGAAAAAATGCCCCTCACGAGGCCGATCTGAGTAGGGGAGGGAAACGGGATAATTAGATATTTGACACAGGAAAAATGTAACCGGTAGAAAAAGAAAAATAGGGAGCAAATATATCAATAACGGGTAATACTGGAAGAAATTAAGGATTCAAACTCGGAAGGTAGGAGAAATCGGGTAACTTGGGAAGTGATGGCGTTCCACAGGGGAACAATTGAAGGAAAATAGTCAGAGGAGTAGGGCTGAACAATAATTAAGTTCATAGGGCGACGAGGGGAGGAGGAGTATTTGACATGTGCATTAAGGTTAGGAAAGTAGGCGGAGCCATTTAAAAATTTATAGAGAAGAATTAGTTGAGCTTTTAGCCTACGATGTCGAATAGAGAACATATTGAGGATAGAGAGACGATCAGAATAGGAACTGTACTGGATATTACAACGCTGGAAAATAACAACGCTGGAAAATAACAACGCTGGAAAATAACAACGCTGGAAAATAACATGCGGTCTTTTCATTTTTTAACGACAGTCAAGTCAGACCTGAGCCGCTTCAGCGAGACGGTTCTCCCTCACCTACTCATAGTCCTGACTTGGCTTTATCAGATTATTGGTTTTTCGGAGATATACAAAGTCATCTGGAGGGTGATGAATTTTGCACCATTTATGAGGAAAAACTGGAAAAATGATACTTTGATTCGCGGCTAGCTGGCTTTTGGAGGTATGCTATCCACAAGTTACCTGAATGTTGGCAACATGTTGTGGACCACGACGGTGCATACTGCTAATCTTGACTCAATCTGGTTTTTGTATTATTTGCAGATAAAACAAGGGACAGTTATTTTCCTTCCAACCTAATAGTTGCCCAGTTATTTGCCGAACTCCGAATGACACCTGCTTTTGTCACGTTTTTCAGTACAAAAACGAATGTCCTTCAGAAAACGGCAAATCGCTGAAACACTAGGCATTTTCGAAAAATTCTGTGAATGCAAAGTTTTCCATCTAGGTCTGTTTTACAACCTTTCAAGTTTTCACAGTGTTCCGACACTCTGTGTAGTTCCGAAATTCGGAATTTAAAACTCTTTTTTTGCCTTTCTAAATTTTTCAGCTTTAGGTTTTGGACCTTCTCGTATTTCTACAACGTTCAATTTTTTTTTGGGTTTTTTAAACAATTTTCAACAAATTTCTAGAAATTCCCAAACTAAACTTCTGAAGTGGGAACGAGGACTACCTCAAATTCGGTATCTTATTTGCAAAATATTATTTTTAGACATTATCGTCAGTCTACCTCGCCTAATTTTGTTTATGGTAGAAAAAGATCTTTGATTCCATAATCTCGGCTCAGAAGAGTCCGATTATTTGTGATAAGCTTTAGAACCATGTGGCGATGGGTGGATTAAAAAAAATAATAGTTGTCTTATTCCGAATGCCACCATGCCCGGTATGCAACTTCTCATCAAAAAAAACTCAAGTCTATGGGAAAGTTTGTTACAAATGCACAGTGTTTTTCAATCGAATGTCAAAAAAAGAAAATATCAGAGTGTGCAAAGGGAATCATAATGATTTTCCGGGTGGGTTTGGAAAATTACCGTTTATGCTCTAATTTAACATGAATCCTGCACCTAAAATTTGTCAACTGATGTTCAACTGATAAAATGTTTATCAGCATTTCGTAAACACTTATTACTCTTGTCCGAAATCAATGCACGTTGCGGCCGAAAATTTACTCAAAATCGCATCGTCGGTCGCACAGCGAAAACAACAAATGGATGCATGCGCCTTTAAATACCGTACCTCAGACGTTTTTTATTTTGGGCCCTATTTGGCTGTTTTTTTTTCTATTTTATAAGAAAAATAAATTAAAGATTTATAAGAATTACACAAAATTAGACAGACACAAGCGAAAAAATGAGAGAAAAATGCAAAAATTCAATTAATGTTGAGGTACTGTATTAAAGGCGCGTGCAATAATTTGAAGAATACAGTAGTGTTCCCTCTCTGGGAGCTAAGCTCCGCTCACAGTTGTTTTCTCGGCCGCAACGTGCATTAATTTCGGACAAGAGTATTATGTAATTAGCAGATTTTTGAGACCTCTAACAGGAATTGAGATAATTTAGCTCAAAATGAAAGTGTAGAGTGCAGTTCTATTACAGCATATAGTATAGCATAGGTATATGCTTTTTATGATTATAAATCAATTTTCAGATGATACACGATTCTGTCAAGGTTGCCGATTCGAGAAGTGTTTGAATGCTGGGATGATTTATAAAGGTAGGGTAGTGTAAAAGTTTCAGACATTTCTAATATTTCAGGCGACATTTAAAACCATTCTAGTTACTTACATTTTCACATTTTTTCATCATTATTATTTTCATACGTCAATAACAGATTTACCCTGAAACCTGTATTACAAGAGCCACTGTTATAGAAGTGCCTCCACAAAACTGTATTGTTTGGAATTGAAAGTTCCACAATTACCCGGGAATTGTGTTGAAACACTTTTTTTGCTCAAAAACGTGCTACATTTAAAGGGAATTGCCATTGGAATTTTCGAAAAAAAATTTTTTTTGGCCCCTTCTAATTGAAGGGCCTCTCTGAAAGAAAGGTTCTTCGGAGGCACCTTGGAACCACGGAAGAAACGGCCCTTCTAAAATTGACTTAAAAGTTCGCGAATTCGGCCGGCGCGGGTACCTAACGGCCGGCTCGGTCGGCTAAGTTTCCGTTCCGAATGGAAGCTTTCCGTCTAATGCAGCTTATACGGTATACATTTTTCATATATTAGGGTGGCTAATAAGTTTCTTTGATTTTGAATGCTCAACTTTGAAATATTATAACTGATCAGTGTGATTGTTTTCTTGACGGATGTTTTTTTTTGTTGAATACAGTATCTCATGGATTTGCTCTATACACTTCCTGTCGTTCGCGAGGATGCCACCTGCTTTTATCCCTTACAGTCTACACTTTTGAAGTTGCATTTTATTATATAATAGTTTCTTTCTGGTTTAAAAAACAATCTTTCTCATATATAAAACGCTAGACGCGTCTGTCCGTCCCGATGTCAGTCTGTCCGGTTTTGGGTTTTTAAATGAAAGGTTGGCCGCCACAAAACCGAACCCACGGCTTTCCGCACAATGGCTGCGCACGCACACAGCTGCTCTATGAGGGCAACACCGAGAGAGGGAGGACGTAGATGTTCTACAGTGTGGGAAAAAAACATCGAAAAGTGAGGGGTGGAGCGACGAACAATTAAAAATGATGAATTGCGCCGAAGGCGCAGCAGCCAGCAGGCTGGTATAATCCATAAAAATAAAAGAAACAGGTGAAGAAGGTCTTATTGTCTCTGCGATCAATCATCGTGCCGATTGACCTGAAGCCAAAACTTTTGGACTGGAAGATGAAGCTTGGTCTGGAAGTTGGACTTGGACCTCTTGAAGAATCCTATTGAAGCTGATTTGTGCTGCTATACTTCTGGGATAGGGTTTCCAGATTAAGCCTGGTTGGGACCGTTGTCGGAACGTTGAGACCGTTATCGGGACATTGGGACCGTTATCGGAACAATGGGACCGTTGTCGAAACAATTGAACCGTTGTCGCAATTCTCGGGACCGGCTGTCCAATGATGGGACCGGCGGTACCGTTTTGGGACCTTCTTCCCGGAAAGAGCCAAATATGCTCCGTTGTTGGTAATATCTCAAACTGCAAAAAAGTATTTCATGCTTATCGCGTTCTGCGCCCAGAGGGGACACATTTGTTCAGCTTCACGATAATGCACACCTGAAAACGACTTTGGCCACTTACCAAAAAAGAAGGGTCTGGGTATCAAGAGTAACAGGGCAAGAACTTCGATAGAAGATCGGACCTCAAATCGTATATGCCTTCTTCGGACAACAGCCACCCGCTTTCAAGGCGAGAGGCATTGAACATCTACCAAGACGTTGGCAAGATGTGATGGACCATAACAAAAAATATATTACTTACTGAAACATTCCTGAAGTTGAATAAACTTCTTTCGAAATTATGTTCAAAAATATCGATTACTTTCCGGGCAACCTAATAGAAATGTCCGAACACTCTTTAGACATCCCAGAAAAGCTTAGTTTAATTTCAGGTGTCGAAAGACCATTGGACCCTCCCGATTCTGACACAACTGCTTCAAATCCAGAACTCCAAGACCTGCTCAACGTCCAAAGTAACCAATGGGCACTTCATGACAAATATGCACAAAGCAGAACTTTTTCCGACCCAGTGGAAAGCTTTGAAATCGACGGAAAACAGTACAGACGAGTCGACCAATCGGATATCAATTTATGCTTGCATATAGGATTCAGAAACGCTAGTAGCTGGGCAAATTTGTTCGAATCGTTAAAAAACTTGAAGATGCGAGACAAGAAATTGATTATTGGAGAGTTTGGAATCGCATTTTTGTTGGTGGATCAAGCATACAAAAGTGCATCAATTACAGATGACAAGACTTTTTGGTTCATGCCAAATTACACATTTCTGTGTACGGAATCTAAAGAGAGGTGATTTTTTTTTGAAAAAAAAACTGAAGTTCTAAAAATGACTGATTCCAGAGACCAATCCAAATTCGTCAACGATTTGATAGAAACTTTGAAAATCCCATTTTCAAATCTTCAAATCGATAATGTTGAATGTGTCATCCTGAAAGCGCTTCTCCTATTCTCTCGTAAGTTATTTTCTTCAGTTATCTTTTTGGTTGAGCTACACGGTCATATGACCCGATATTTTGAAAATATTATTTTTCTAATTTTTCAATGAAAACTTCTGAAAATTTTAATAATGCAGAGTCGGCTGAAAATTTAAACTGTTCCTGATACGTATAAACTAAAATAGCTCCGGTAAACTGTTGATGGTAAAACAGGGTATGTCAGAAATTGTTTTTTTTTTCAAATTCCTATTTTTTTTTGAGTTTCAGCATTTTTGATGCTTCATTTTCTCCAGCAATGATACCTAATTTTTCCAGCGTCATTTCCAAGACATCCGAAAATTCAAGAATCTTCTGAAATCGTGCAAGAGTTCATGAGTCATCTGATGAGCTACTCCGTCGAAAAGTGTCCAGAAAATGGAGACGTTCGATTCGGAGAAATCATTTTGCTTCTTGGCTCGATTCGGTGTGCCGTGAAAAGTTTATACAATCAAACTAGAAAGTCTGGAAGTTTCGATATTGGCAGTTTTGATAATTTTCTCAGAAGTTGTTTTTTGACCTAACTCCTAACTTTTTTCTGCATTTTTAAAGCATTTTCTGGCATTATTTCAGAATATTTTTCAGCTTTTCTTTCAGCATTTTTTTTGTTCGAAGATTTAAAAATAAATATTTATGTATTTTCTCTGATTGTTAATCCGATGTACTTCCCCATCCACCTGAAAATGGAGCAGGGTTTGTTGTATTAAACTAATAGTTTCTGTGGATTGTGTATTGTATTGAAAAAATAACTCTGATTTTTTCAAAGTTGAATTTTTATGATTAGAATAAGTGAAAACAAATAAGAAATTACAAATTCTATAGGGAACAGAACTTCGATTTTCTTTTTGTGTTTTCGCAAAATTCCAACTTTACAAAAATTCAAATTTTAAAATGCGAAGATTTTTTTCTCGTTCCTTTCGTTCTTTTTTCCTTCTTCGTTTCTCGTTTTCAATTTCTTTCGGTTCTCAGCATTTCTCTCATTGAACAGTATTTTCCGCTTTTATATGACTTTCTTTCAGAATAAATAAAATTGATGAGTTCGTAACATGAATTGAGCACCCAAAAAAACTGGCATATAAAAAATCTTTACATGTAAGGCTTAGCGACATTTTTAGCAGAGACTTCAAAAGTTCGACATATCGCATGTGATATTTTTAAAGCCGATCGGAAGCAGAAAAAACAACAGATTTTCGTATAATTTTTCATGCGCGAACCTTGCAAAGCTGTTACTTTCCACAGCACTTGCAAAACATCACACTTGCGAAGTGTCGGCGAGGCGAATTTTCGGCAACAGAATGAGAAAGTTAAGATATTTCGATAGTTTTTGCTTCGGAGCATATAAAAACTCACCAACTCACCACATAAAAACCTCTGCAACGTTAAATTTGTTACTTTCGGAAGCAAAAACTTGCGAAACCTTAGAAACTTATAGCGAAACGAGTTTTGACCGATTTTTTCGCATTTTCAACTAAAACGCGAGGAAGAAAGTGCACGAATGTTTTTGATGCTTTTCTAATGCCAGTGTTTAGATAATTTGAGCAAAAAATACTTAATTTCAATGAGAAAACACTTCGAAAAACCAAAAAAACTGTGAAACTTAGACGAGAAATACGTTGAGTCTTGTGTCGCTAAACAAGGCGCAGGCGGGATTTCGGAGTGTCGTTGCGAACCGAAATTCCGAAACTCGTCAGCTAAAACGGCAATTAAAAACGAATGGTCGAGATTTTTGAAGAAAAAGAAACAAAAAGAGAACAGCATTTTCAGACAAAAATTGTACAACGTTTTCAGAAAAAAATTTCGTCGGAACTCTTCAGAAAATGGGAAAAGTATGACCGGAAACACGTGCCTTAAACGGAGGATTATTATCACGAAATGACAACTCCAGTTACGATATTTTAACAGAAAATGCGAAAACATGCTTTTAGATGGATACCCAGGAACATCCAGAAATTCATTTTACAGCGTTTTTTTCCAGCCGCCATCCACCAGTCAGCGCCTCTTCGACTGTCATTTAGCCGTTTTTCACCAATCGCGCCTCAGATTCTAATTTTCGTAGAAGTGCTTCTAATAACACATTTTATAGATTCCCAGATCCCTCTATGACTTTATTATGTTTTAAGAGAAACATCTTTTTTCAACCAAATTTTCCATTCTGCAGAAATTTGGCCCGCCAACCACCGGTCATTGACCAGTCAGCGCCTCTTCGACTGTCATTCAGCAGTCGTTCAACAACCTATTTTTTTGAGGTGGTCCTATTTTAGGAAAATAAGATTCTATCATTTCCTATAATCTAGTGGGGATATGAGAAATTGTTTTCTGAATGATTTTCAATGAAAACCTTCAAGTCTGTTTTCCAAGGGGTTCCGACTGTCCGTCGACGGACCGTCGACGGCCCGTCAGTTTTCCTTCGGCTGCCAACTAGCAGTCATTCGCCAGTTTGCGCCTCTTCAGCTATTATTTAGCAGTTTTTCAGCAGTCCCCCTCTACCTGTGTGATGCGCTTGCTAATCGAACAGAAACTGGAGCATTCGTTGTAGCATCCATTTCTCTGGAATTGAATTCCGAATTTCCGGTTATCAAGTTTTTCACGAATTCCCGATACGGCTTAATAATAAAAAGGGTACAAGAATTGCTCAGCGATCCGTGAAGAGACATGAAGAGCATTGAGAAATTGTTAAATGCTGAAAATTGGAGAGAAGGATGAGCAATGAAGGAAATCGTTACCTTGATTATAGTAATTATTTGAATACGCGTAAAGGGAGTAGCAAACGGGTCCAGCTACAATGGACCAGGGAATAGAAAACTGGGAAAATTAGAGATAATGAGAAGAAGAAAGTGCAGACATCTAGACGTCTAGCGTGGTCCTGACTTTGAATTTTTGTATCTCTAATAGTAAGACCAATTGAGATATACTAAAATGGTGAATTGGTAAGAATAGGAAATATCCTCGAAATTATCTTTGCAGTTCACATATTTTTTATATCTACTTCGTCTGGTGAGTAAAACGCACTAACTTCTCTGTGCCTCTTTTAACAGTGTAGTGACTTTAAACGCTTATATCTAACGAATTAATAATGTTATTAAAAACTGTGAATTAGAAAAGTTTAGAAAATTTTACCAGGGTCTTAAACAGTTTACAAATTTTTTTCTGGCCCACCTGCAACGCCACATGTCTCAAAAATCGCTTCTGCAGCGCTTTGGTAGACTCTGAAACGGTGGCATTTCTCACATAATTCAGATGATAAACGGTGTCAATTGAAAAGAATAACGTCTGTCCGAACATGATGACCAATCCTCCAGTAATCGCCAAAAACGGTAAAAGTTCTCCTCCCTTCAAAAGCACACAAGTATTTTTGTCGTAAAAATCAATAGTTGGACAGGGGATTCTCTGAAGAAATGTTAAATGGAAAACAATGCAAAGATTTGAATCAGAACCTTCAAAACAAATTTTCTGAGTTCCATTTGATCTGCATCTTCCATATAAAATGCAAGCATTAGGAAAATGCCGAATAATAATTGACTCCAAAATAGACAAGTCTCGTTTTGAGCCGAGTGATTTTAAATTTGATCCATGAAATTTGGCTGTGCCGATTCTCCAAAAGCATCACGAATTTCACACCTCTAACTTGTGTCTGTTTGAAGGCTTCTATCCCTAGAATCATTTGAGAGAGGACAAATGTGGAAAATTATTTTTTACAGTCAATGGTTTTTTCTAGCTCATCTATTCCTCAAAATATGCGCAGACCTGCAAAGCCACATATCTCAAAAATCGTTTCTGCAGCGCTTTGGTAGATTCCGAAACGTGCGCATTTTTGACGTAATTCAGATGATAAACGGTGTGAATCGAGAAGAATAACGTCTGTCCCAGCATGATGAGCAATGCAGCTGTAATTGACAAAAATGGTAAAAGCTCTCCGCCTTTCAGAAGAACTAGTGTGTTCTTATCATAAAAATCAATAGTTGGGCAGGGGATTCTCTAAAAAAATTTTAAATGAAATAGAAATGTTTTTAAAAAACACCTTCAGAACAAATTTCCGAAGTTCCATTTGATCTGCATCTTCCAAATAAAATGCAAGCATTAGGGAAAATGCAAAAAAGTAATTGACTCCAAAATAGAAGATTCGTGTTTTGAGCCGAGTGATTTTGAATTTTATCCATGAAATTTTGGCTGTGTCGATTTTCCAGAAGCATCACGAAATTTGCACCGGTCACTGAAAAGTTATAATGAAAAGGATGACAAAATGTTAAAAATGATATAAACATACTAAATATAGAAACCTGCGCAAAATATGCGCTCCATTTCGCAGGGAGCCCTAAAGCCTCAAACAGTCCTCGAGGCGTTCCAGAAGCAGTTGGATAATACATCACAGGGGTCAGGAAAGCAGCAAATCCAAATTTGTGCCCCAAGCATGAACAATCAAAAGTGGAATTTTCATATTCTTCATTTTTCTCGGTGTCACTCGAATGATAGTCATAAATGTGAATATAGATAATGGAATTGTGAAAAGAGCTGTGCAGTGATAAGCAGTTATCATGAAATCAGATGAATCAAAGTAGGTGTGATTTCGACGACATGAAGATTCCACGTAATCTGGCCAGTAGATATCCATGTTCATATAAGAGTTCAAAAAAAGGGGTGGTGGTTGATTGAATTTCTCATAGAAGAATTTTTTTTCCTAAATACACTTCTCATAGGCAGAAGGTGTCACTTTGGCAGAAACAGCTTATTTAATAGAAATCCAATTTTCTTCGCATGTTGTGGTTCTTTGATCATACAGAAGTTCTCAGAAATCAGACTTTTGAACGAAGTATTTATTAAAAGATCACCAAAAAATCAATTATCGATTTTTAAGATCATTTTCTAGCCTGATGTACTCCCCACTACAACAGAAACAGGAGCAGCATTGGTTGTATGAGCTATTTCCCGGGAATTGAATTCCGAATTTCCAGTAATCAAGTTCTTGACGAATTCCCGATACGGCTTAATGATAAAAAGGGTACAAGAATTGCTTAACAATCCGTGAAGAGCCATGAAAAGCATTGAGAAGTTGTTGAATGCTAAAAATCTCATAACGTTGAGAAATGGATGAAGTCGTTACCTTGATTATAGTAATCGTGTCTATCGGCATAGAGAGAGTAGAAAATAGGGCCGGCGAGAACTGTCCAGGGAATTAACATCTGGAAATTTCAGGCTTGAGATTATGAGGAGGGGAGAGTATGCAGAGAAGTGCGCCTATGGAGAGACCGCAGACAGTTAGAGTTTCTAACTGTCTGCGTATCTTTTGGTGTTTCTTCACACTTTTTAACCTGATTTCTCTGGTTAATTGAAAAAATATATATTGTAAATAATTATGTACATCACACTTTTTTCTATCTAGTATGGTTGCTGAGATACAAGTGAGCGAAGAGAGTGAGATGATCTGAATGTCTTCTTAGTTTTTTGTAGCCTTCGTAGTCAAACTTTGCATATATCTCAGGAACCAGAAGAGATATCAAAAAGCATTCAATTAACGATTTATAGAAAACTTTATTCAAAATATTTTCGCAATTGACAACTTTCTTTTAGCTCTTTTCGTTCTTCAGTTACAGCTATTAAACAGTTACTCACCTGCATTACCACATAACTCAAAAACTTCCTCTGCATCGCTTTAGTGGCTTCGGACACATTCGCGCCTTTTACAAAATTCAAGTGATAAACAGTGTGAATTGAGAAGAATAAAGTTTGGCTAAGCACAATTATCAATCCAACCACCATTGACAAAAACGGCAAAAACTCGCCGCCTTTCAACAAAACTACAGTTTGTTTGTTGAAAAATTCAATGGTTGGACAAGGGATTCTCTGAAATTGTGAAGTTCAGAATTCAAGAAAATCCGAAAAAAAATTAAAACCTTCAAAACGAATTTTCGAATCTCCATTTGATTATCTTTATCCAGATAAAATGGCAGAATGTATAAAAAAGCAAACAAATAATTGATTGTCAAAAATGCAGTTCGAACTTTGTGATTTGTAATTTTGAAATTGCTCAGTGGAATTTGACTGTGCCGGTTTTCGAGCAACATTATAAAATTGATAGCTACAGCTGAAAATGTAAAAATGATGCACAAAATTTAAAAAAAGATCATTTACCAACTATAGATGCCTGTCCAATATAAGCGACCCATTTAGACGCAAATCCCAAAGCTCTAAATATTCCAAGTGACAAACCGGCAGCTCCAGGAAAGAAAATGTACGGAGCACCGTAAACCGTAAAACATAAATCCAAATTTGTTCCCCAAATATGAGCAATCAAAAGTGGAATTTTCATATTTTTCATTTTCTTCGGAGTCACTCGAATTATAGTGTAAAATGTGAAAATTGATAAAGGGATTGTGAAAAGAGCAGTGAGATGATAAGCGGTTTGAAGGAAATCACCAGAATCAAAGTAAGTATAATTTTCACGACATGAAGATTCCACGTAGTCGGGCCAATAGCCAGAAGACATTATTTACGTTCAAAACCTGAAGTATCTTAGACCTGAAGAATCAAATAAAAAATTAAGACATATTCGATTTGTGATGCTTTGAGCACAAATTGTAATATGCAATTTCTGGGAAATGGAGGAAAACGAGTACGAGGAAACTTTTGATCATTCTTTCTGATCTTTCAATCTAATTTTAGGTGTTTCAAGTGCTTGGAACCGCTTGCCACCAATAGAAAATTGTAAATTAGTTCAGAATAGTTTTTTTTTCAACTACCGCAGGTAGAATGAATATGAAAGTTTGCGAATGACAAGATTAAAAATAATTAACATTGTTGGAAGAGTTTCAGTATTTTCAGAAATTCCCGATATTGCAATTTATGGAAGCTCTGAACTTTCTGAAAAAGTTTTGGGATCTAAGAACTTAAAGAATTTCGAAATGATGCATTTCAAGAATTTCCGATTTATTGTTTTCCGATTTTCCTGGACTATTTGAATTCTTACAATATTATGAGCTTGGGATCAAGATTTTCAGATTGCTCACTTTCAATTTCTGAACTTTATTGTGAACATTTTTTTAAAAAGAGAGCCCGTTGTTTGTGAGCTTTTTATTTCTATGAAAATGATCTGGAAAATTTTTTGAAAGAGACGACAAAATTATTGGAAAACCTTCTGTTCTTCAAAAAAAGGTCTACCTCTTTATTTTGCAGAACATAGAGAACATAATTAAAAAAGAAGACTTTCACTAACAAAATATTAAATTACTATTTTAAAAAGTTGAGAACGTAAGTTAGTAAGAATTTTCAACTGGTGGAATAATTCTTCCAGTCGTCGATCTTCTATGATGTCCAATATAACTAGAAGTTGCCATTGAAGTCCTTCGATCTTCGTCTTCCTTCTTCCCGACTATAATTTTCTTAATCAAATCTCGATAAGGCTGATAAATCAATAATGTACACATAGTTGAAAATATTCCATGAAACGACATTAGTAGCATCGCATTGTTATTATAAGCTGAAACATTTCGACTTGGAAGTAAATGCGCTCTAATGAGAACCACCTTGATTATAATAGTTGTTTCTGTCGGCGTACAATGAGTAGATCACTGGGCCGGTCAATGCGATTAGGGGTATTGAAATCTGAATTTTGTTTCCTGAAAAATTAAAAAAAAAGGAATCTACCTGAACAGAAACATAAGCCAATAGTTTTCTCTGCAACGATTTTGCAGTTTCCGAAACATTTGAATTTCGAATCAATGTCAAATGCCAAAGAGTGTGCGCAAGGAAGAAAAATGTTTGGAAAATGATCAAAACCATGGAAATGATCACAGAAATGAATGGTGTCATTTCACCGCCCTTTAAAAGGATGTAGGTTTTTTGATCGTAGAATTCAATGGTTGGGCAGGGAATTCGCTGAAGATTGTTTTTCCGTTTTGATTTTCAGAAACATGTTGATGCCTCATTGAAGTTTTAAAATGTCAGGAGTGGTTTATTCAAGAAGTTTAAAAAATCAAGAACGTTGAACTTTAAACACTCTCGATAACTTAAAACTGGAAGTTCGAATGGGGACCAAGACCACCGTAAATGCTCTAACAGAATCTTGCACTTTGAGCACAATTACCGTAAAACCTGTAATAGAAGTGCCCCCTGACTTTCAACTTTGAGCTCAATTATCTCGGTTCCTGATAAAGATATCAAAAATGTGTCAACTGATAAATTATTTATCATGATAGCAGCAACAATTTCTTAGTTGACAAATTTTTTACATCTTTATCAGGAACCGAGATAAATGGGCTCAAAGTTGAAAGTCAGGGGNCACTTCTATTACAGGTTTTACGGTATCTCAATTTCTATCAGAGATATAAAAACCTGTAAATTAAAAAATTGGTGGTCCTGACATGACCATCATTTTATCAGTTGACAAATGTTTATTATCTATTATGCGAACCGAGATAATTGAGCTTGAACTCAAAAATAGGATCACGTTCTATTAGAACATTTATCTCGGTTCGTGGAAATGATGCAGAAAAGATATACGATAAGCATTGTTTACCAAGTGGTGAATCTTTTGTATTTTTGCCAGGGACTAATATAATGGAAGATTAATAGGCTTTATTAAGGAATGACATTCATGGGCTAACTTCACCCCCAATGTCTCTTCCTCCTGCTCTTCTAACCTACTCACCTTCAGAACATATTTTCTCAGCTCAATCTGATCTGTATCCTCCAGATAAAATGGTAATATTGCCACAAAAGCTATCACAAAATTTAAGCCAAAATAAGTCTGACGAACTCTTTTGGTCTTGATTTTAAATTTTATCGTTGGAATTTGACTTTGTCGATTCTCATACAACATGATGAAACATACGCCCATGCCTGAAAAATTAAAAAACAGAAATTAACGCTGTGCAATGATAGGCGTTACGAAGATAGTCAGTGCTCCAGAAGAAGGAATAATTCTGGCGACACGTGGATTCGACGTAGTCGGGCCATAGATTGGACATGGTCTGGAAAATTGATTTGAAATTTGGTTTTTTGTAAAATGAAATTTTTCAGCTCAAAAGATTAGAAAACTTAAATTCGATTTTTGGAACTTGCCAGAGCAAAAATCTTTAAAACATTCTCAAAAAAGCCAAGTTCTGACATTTCGGGGTTCAGAATGATTGTATTTTAGCATAGATTATTAAATAAGAAAACTCACTGAAAAAAGTTGTGACTGACACCAAAAGTGTGTCTTGAGTGAGCAATGTTTTCTTTCGTACATCTATAATTTGTTTCGAGGAAATTCTTGGAATGGGTTAGAGATGAAAAGTGTGCAACCAATGCTCAAAAGTTCTTTTCTGTTGGGAAATTTTGAGAACAAAAAACGTCGGGTTGCGAAATGGTTAGTTGCAAAATGTGCTGTTCTGAAACGTCAGGTTGCAAAATTGTTAGTTGCGAAATGTGCGGTTCTAAAACCTACTATTGTAACATGGTCAGTTTAGAAACATTATTTTCTAAAACGTCCGGTTTCAGAATTGTCAGTTTTGAAATTTGCTGTTCTAAAACGTATGGTTGTGAAATGATCAGTTGCAAAATAAGCACTTTGAGACCGTCCGGTTGCGAAAAAAAGCAGTTGGGAAATGTTCAGTTGTGAAATATGCGGTTCTAAGTTCTAAAATGGTCTGTTTCGAATGTTGCTGTTCTGAAACGTCCGGCTGTAAAATCTTCAGTTGCAAGATGTGCGGTTCTAAAATGTCCGGCTGGAGTTGGTAAGCAGCGAAATGTGCAGTTCTGAAACGTCTGATTGCAAAATGGTCAGCTGGAAAATGGTCTGCTGAGAAATGTGTGGTTCTAAAACGTCCGGTTCAGAAATCGTCAGTTGCAAAATAGTCAGCTGGAAGCGTGTGGTTCGGAAACTTTCGGTTGCAGAATGTATCATTTTCGAAATTTCAAAGATTTCTGTTCTCCTGGCAATGTCTTCAAATCTTCAAACACTGTAATTGTGTTTTAATTTTTCTTTTTTGATATTAACACAATTTCGTTTTCAACGAAAATAATGAACCAGACGGACCGGAACTATCGATGGTATAACTCGTGGTAATTAATTTCCTGTCCGACATCAGCTGATTTAGAAAGTTCCCAACTATACGATTCTTAGAAAAAGATATATAATATCCGGTACAAGTATTGTTTTTAGAGTAGCTCAATTTTCATAGTTGGTTTCTAGCGGTTCTTTGAAGTTAAAATTGTAATTCCATTTTTTGAAAAGTTTTATTCGATTTTGGATTTGATTATGGTTCCAGTAAATGATAACCGCGTAGCTGAGCTAGATCTTATTTTTCCAGCAACACTTCTCGCATGGCCCAACTTTTCTGGTTATCGTCGAAACCAAGGACAAATTGTTGAGCCCTACGGTTCTTTCAATTTTAAATGCACTCTACTGGGGCTGTTTTGGCGCGTCCATGGCAGTTTTTGCAGTTCATTTTGTCTATCGATGGCTCGTAGTTTCTGAGTGAGCCTTTAAAATTATTTTGAAAGATTTCTATACCGTTTTTGCTCTGATAGAAGTCCACGCTTTTCTCACTTCGAGCTCAATCATCTCGGTTCCTCCCGAAGGTATCAAAATTTTATCAACTGATAAAGTATAGGTGATATTATGATAAATGATATATCAGTTGACGGATTTGTGATATCTTTTGAAGGAACTGAGATAATTGCTCGGTTGTGGCCTGCAACTTTAGGGCGAAAACAGGGGTGGATGCGGCTTTAGAGCGTTATTTGGGCAGCTTTTAACCGCAAGCTCCTAGATCTGTGGCAGCTGCGCCGACCACCATCACCTTGGCGAATCTTGGGCGATGTTTAGGCGAATTTTAAAGGCGACGCGTGCCTCGCGTTGCGTGCATTAGAATTTCTTTTCGAAATCAAACTTTATCCGTTTTTTTCTATTTTAGCGTAAATCATCTCATTTTCTTTGCCGTTTCTGTTCTAAAAATGAAAAACCTTCTAGGTAATAGTATCAAAAACTTGGTTTCAAATATAGGACGTTCTGAAATTGGTTTTGAAGTCAGAAATTCGAAATTAAAGTGAGGATATCTGAAAAAAAAGAAGATGAATGGATTTTTCAGAATGTTGAATCCAAGGTCGAAGAGACAACTTCGTAAAATACATAATTTGTGAACGTATTTATGATGATTATCAGAAGGAACGACATTTCAACACGTATTCGGGCAGCAAAAATTGATACTGGAATCTACAAAAAGGTAAAAACATAGGAATGTGATTCGAAAAATTGTGAAACTTGTAGATCGTAATACATCTGATGAGTATCATCAAAGATGAAACAGCTCACGCCCGTAAAGACAATGCTCCCCGATGTGCCGAGAGATTTCCGAGTTTTGCAACCGAGAATACTACGATATGACTCTTCACTACGGTGTCAATCAGAGCAATCTGATCGCGTGGTAATTGGGGAGGATCTTTTGGTTCGAAAATCCTGAGGATCCCTAGATCCCTCTTGGATCTTCAAACCCCAACGATCCAAACAAGAAGGACTCTCCTTCGGCTCATCAATCCAATACGTATGCAAACCGGGCAGCCTAAACGGCGCCAACGGCAAGTACATCGTCCACATCGACCCGATCGTTCTCGCTCGTCGTGGACTCATCCGTTCAATTTGTTATGAGCTTCAGTACATGCCATCTGATGGATCGGTGGTGTTCGAAAAGCAGATAGATGGTCGATATGCGTTGAACAAGAACGTGAAGTTGGTTTTCTGGGCCAACTTCTCACCAGCGTGTTTTGTGCGATGATGTCCCGGCTTTCATCTGACAGATCTTATTGGTAAGCGACAATATAATCAATACAATTATCTTCGTATTTTTTTCAGAACATCCAAGTGACAACTACTGCCTACCCTACCCACATCATTATTCAAAGCAAATCTAACAGACAATTTTTTGTGTTATTCTGTTTATTGTTTTTCTTTCTTCTGTTAGCTATTGGTTTTTAAAAATAAATCAAGTTTATAAAGTTGATTTGGAGAAAAATTTCAGATTTTTTAGAGCCTGTGGTCAGATTTCATGTGAGCTACGCGAATCTTGAGCGTAGGCTTGGCGCCTTTAGAGCGGTCGCTGGGCGGCTTCTACAGAAAACTAAAGCGACATCCGCCCTGCCACAGCCCAGAAGCCGCTTGAATTCAGCCTAAAAGTTGGGGGGTTACAACTGAGTGAGCTCGAAATTCATGAATAGTGTGGGTTTCTATCAGATCGAATACAGTAGGTTTTATTTTCAGAAACCGCCTCCTCCAAACTTTTAACGGCTGGAAAATTTGTTTGTGGTTCTCGATTCCGGTTTGGTATGGGGTCACTTGGGTGTGCACAGGATATATTCTGTGTGGTCCCAATGAGAATACTTCGAGATTTATAAAGTGAGATGATTTTTTGAAAATTGCTTTTTTTTGTGATAATGATCAGAAGTTTTAAATTTTGGGGTGTTTTTGGATTTCCTAGACTCTCGGATTTTTTGAAATAGTTTAATTTCGTTGAAGAAAATTTTGAACCCTCCCCTTACAAAAATTATTCAGAGACAATATCAAGGAAGTGTTGGGACTGGAATTCAATGAGTATACATACCTAGGACCATTTTTATATGACAAGGATGAGAACGGGACGGATGTGGTCTATGTGGCACCGTTCATTGGATTGGGAATCAATTCTGGAACGATTGTGGGTGTTTTGAGAATGCATTTTTGGAATTATGGAGTTTAACGGAAGGGGAGGGGGGGGGGGCCTTTTTCATATACAGTACCTTCCAATAAGATGTATAAAAGCCATTTTGACCATTTTCAATCTGGAGCTCGGTTATCAAGTTTCCGATCACTTTGAATATATTGGAGAGTTTAAAACAAACCTACTTGACAGAGCTCCAGTTTCGTGAAAATAGAGGAAAGCGACACGATTAAACCATGAAAAATTTTCTCTCCTCTCTCTCTCCTTCAAATCACCCATGAAACCTCACAACCCTATAAACCTAAAAATTGTTTCCAGTGCTCTTCTATTATCATCGTCCTAACATTCGGAATTCTCTGCTACATACGTATCAAAAACATTGTGGTCACTACAGTAAACTCACTGAAAATGCGAAGTCTCCAACGACAGCTTTTCTTTGCATTGGTCATCCAAACTCTTGTTCCTTTTCTTCTGATGCATATTCCAGTAGCTTTAATGTTTGCCTTCGTTTTCTTGGATATTGATTTAGGCGTTTACAGCGCAATTGTATCCATGACAATTGCCATTTATCCAGCTGTCGATCCGATTCCAACACTTGTAATTGTGGAAAATTATAGGAAGACTATTATTTGTAAGAGTCATGATGTCTAACTAGCATTCTAAATTTTCTAACACAAAATTTTTTTCAGACTGGCTATGTTGTTGTAAAAAAGTCGCACACGTGCCAGGACAGACTACTATAGAACCTACTAGATTCGCAACGCTCCCACCTTCCAATCTTGAACTTGATCTCGAAAATTGAACTTGCTTTTTCGAAAATTGTGCCGGCAGCCTCTAATAAAGCTGTGACATGATAGAACTATAAAAATGTCCCTCGAAAATCCCCGTTCCCTAAACTTCAATTTCTGTTCCACACTTTCCTTCCCGTCTACTCCACTTTTTTCCTTAAAAAATGAAACCGGATTTTTCCAAAATTTGTACCTTTAATCTCAATCTTCGAATCTCCGACAGGAAATTTTTGGATAGAAAAATCGGGTAAAATCTTCATTTTGGAAACAAGAATTTGCCTCCAGATTTTTAGAGATCCGGCAAACAAGATAAATGAAAAAGGTGTTCTGCTGAACATTTTGTTCCGTCTATGGAGTCGAAAAATTGGAAAAAAAACTTTTTTATTGAATAAAAACTAAAAACCTGACATTGAAAAAAAATGAGTCAATGATGTGCTAACACAATTGACTTAAAGCTACAAATTCCACGAAATTCTGTACACTCGCTCTACTGATAACACCCGATTTCATTAGTGAAGAGAGCGTCAGTAGCCCAATGGAATGTGATAGGGAACATTGAAGGTCCGGAGTGGTACGTGGCATCTGAATGGACACATGGCATATCTGCTCGCTGAGGAAGTTCACAATCAAAGGCATTCACACATGTGACGTCGTTCATAAGAGTGTGAGTATCACGAAGATGGTAGAACGAGTCGTTGTAGCATTTGAAAATAATTGGCATGTAGTAATCGTCTTTGGGAAGGGTTTTGGAGAGTTCGGCGATGGGTTCCAGGGCAAGAATGCTGAAAAATTAAGATTCCAGGAGATGGTTCAAAAATTAGGGATTCAGAACTTCGAGGATTCAGAACATTTTGAATATTTTCTACTCTCAAAACAAACCTCTTCATCTCGGCGTCAATTTCGGCCAAATGGTCCTCACTGATCAATTGCGTAATATTATCCCCGGGATTCAAAGGAACAGCTCCATCCTTCACCTCCGTTAAATTCTTCAAAAACATATTCTTCAAGTGGAAAATATTATTTGATCTCATCGCTTTTCTTCTCATCATCAACGGAACCGATTGCTTTGGTGTCCAGTACATTGGCTTATCATCCGAATTTCTTGAATAATGGGACCACGAAGAATTGAATCTCTCCGGACGAACGAATGATTTTCCTTGGTCTTTCGTTGGCAACCTCCGAGCATTCTTAACAATCGCAGTTATACTTTGATCCTCGAGACTCGCCACTTTGATAGTTTCAAAGTCCGCTTTTCCGTATTGAAGTGCACTAATGAACCAACTACCACCGTACTCTCTTTCGAATTCCTCGTAATAGGAATTCGCATTATTTGGAATTAAAATATCATCCATGTCTAGAATCCCAACAAAGCTAACTGCTTCCTTATACATGAGAATACAATCTGTGTGAGCTGCTGCTTGATTTCGGAGCTCCACATTTCGATTTGGCTCCAAATACGGGCCATCAGTCACGGGAAACTTGATGGTTAGCCATGGTTCGATTGAGACGAGACCCAGTTTTTCGTATTCTTTGATTAGTTTATAATAGGATTCAACCATCGAGACAATGTAGAGTTGTAAGTGAGCACCATATCTGAAATTGGAAAAATTGGGATTGTGCTAGAAGTTTAATATTTCGGTATTTCTCAAAAAATGTCCGCATATTCAATAATTAGAGTGCAAACTTCTCTAATTTATCTCGATTTCTGTGAACATCATCCAAAAATGTTCAACTGTCAAAAAAGCCAAGAAAAATTAGTTCAAACTTGAAAGTATGGAGCTATTCTATCACAGGTTATACGGTAACAGATTTTAGTCCACCCTTCAGGTTAGGCTTGGAAAATGTTTTTCCTTTCGTGAATTAATATTTTCGGAAACATCCTTGCTTTTTTTACCTCTTGGAAATGTGCAATTGAGTCAAAAATGTCTGCCATTGCTCAGCTGCAAATTGTGGAGAAACACAAAAGACGACGGGTTTTGGTGCGGAGTATTTTGGCATTTTGAATGGGATCTGAAAGTTTATGAAGTTGAAAAAAAGTTTGGAATCTTACTTCTATTTTTTTCACAATTTTTTGAAAGCTCCAAAAATGCTCACCTCTGTCAAAACTCCCTCAGACTCAATTTCCAATTTATTCATTCCTGGAAACAAATTGGATTGAATCAGCACTTGAGAATAGTCACATCGATCGTTGAGGAGATGTTCGCTGAAAATTTTTTTATTTCGAAAAATTGGAACTTCGAAGAAAAAAATTACGTCGTCAAAGTGGCCACATTGGTCATCCGTTTTCTCATATAACTTCCATGAACTTTAATTGTGTAGTCTGTGATCGGATCGACGGTTCGTTTATTCATAGTTGTCACTATCGCAATTGCATTGTTACCCAATCTGGAATTTGTTTCAGATTACTCTTTTTTAGTTGAAAAATTTGAAAAAATATAATGTTTTGGTTATTTCTGATGACTGGTTCATTAATGAAAAAATGAGAAATTGTGAAAATTTGGAAGTATTCAAGAATTTTATGTCCTGTAGGTTTCAAATTTTGGAATTCTCAGAATATTTAAAAATCCAACTTTTTGATTCTGAATCTCAGAAGTTCCAAAAATTTGGTTTTCTACTTTTCTGAATTTCTAAGATTTTCGATTTCTGGCTAGGGTTCTGAAATCCTAATAATCTGAATTTAATTCAAACATTTCGAGATCCTGAGGTCCTGAATTTTCCAGTTTCTGACTTTATAAGTTTCTGGATTTCTGATTCTGAACTTCGAGGAATTGCTTGGCATTTCCTCAAAGCTTTTTCATTCCAAGATTCTAGGATTCTAAGATTTAAGAATCTGGGATTTTGAGATTCTGAGATTTTGCGAATTCCAACTTTTAAGGAAACTTTTCGCCAGAAAACTCACGATTTAGAAACGGGATAGAAATAAGCAGAATGCACAAAAGCATGTGTTTTCTGCAGAATCACTATCTCTTTCGGCGTTTCAATAATGAGCTCCTTGTGCTTAAAAGCTGTGGTGCCCAGTAGTAAGAATAGAATGATTAAAAATCCAATAAACAGAAAAAGTTTGAATAATCGCAATGGATGAAGTTTATATCGAAGTTTTCTCAAAGTTAAAAGACTATAAGACATCGGGTGAATCAGTTTTTCCATTTTTTGACGGGAAAGGGAAAATGAAACAAAATGTTCTTCTTCTAATCCCGAAAAAAGAGGAATAGAATATCTCCAAAATGTGTTGAAAAGGTGGAGGCGAAAAAGACAAGGATCAGATAAAAATGGGAGGGTGTCCTGTTCCTGGAGTCGTCCTCCTCCAAAATTCTGTATTAGCCGCTTTTTTGTACAGATGACGTATTGAGAAAATAAATGAGAAGAAAGGGACAGAACACAGAATGAAAATTCAAGAAGTGGTTTTTTTGGAATTCGAATACGAAAATGATTTTTGAGAACTTCAAAGTTTACTATTTCTCATTAAAAACATACTTGCAAAATCAGGGCCCGGCCCGCGGGCCGGGCCGAAGATTTTCAGGACCCGGGCCCGGGTTCTCCAAATTTGAAGAAAATTGAAATTTCAGAAATTTTTTAAAATTTTTTTGTGAAAGAACTATTTTTTATGGACAATCTTGAAAATTTTTTTTCTTGTCAGAAAAATTACCCTTTTTTTCTGTTGACCCCAAAAATAATTTTGAATGACAGGAAATTTTTTTCGAAAATTCGGGCCGAGACGGGTCGGGCCCGGGCCTTGAAAATTCTGAAAAAATTCCGGCTCCGGCCCGGCACGTTGCAAGTATGTTAAAAAAGGTATAGTTTGTTTTTTTTTACTGTAGGCACACATAGTCATTCCAAACAGCTACAAACATACATTTCAATCTCTGACCTTAAAAAAATGTTTGTATTTGTTAGAATAATGCCGATCGTCATATTTTCAAGGCTAACTTATGACTTCATAAATACAATAAATGATAATAAACAGTGTCAATAAAACAATACCTAACTACTGGCAATAAAAATAATAGTAAATGGTTATTTTCTAACAAGCTAGCTCTTCAGGATGTGATTTTTCAAAAAAGTTGTCAATTACAAAAATGAAGCTCTATTTTTTTTTATTCCGGAACAATCCGACAACTTCAACATACTTTTTCTTTAAACGTTTCTATATTTCTTGTCCGTTTTCAAACTACACACACATTGTTATGATCTTCCGAACGTAAGCACCTAGATTTCTAGATTTCCATTTTCTTCCGAAATACATGTCAAAATTTCCTTTCATTCTTTTTCCCCTTTTTATGACCAAGACCAAAATTTGATTCTCACCGGCTGATTACTATCGCTCATCTTGTTTTTGAACTTTCTTTTCATTTTTGTGGGGGATTTCCAGTTTTTTCAATGAACGGTTTGTCACATTAAAATGGGACGATAATGTAGTTTTTGGAGAACATTTTTAAAATTTGCAATTTTTAAAATTTTCAACAGAATCGAATCTCAGAATCTCAGAATCTCAGAATCTCAGAATCTCAGAATCTCAGAATCTCAGAATCTCAGAATCTCAGAATCTCAGAATCTCAGAATCTCAGAATCTCAGAATCTCAGAATCTCAGAATCTCAGAATCTCAGAATCTCAGAATCTCAGAATCTCAGAATCTCAGAATCTCAGAATCTCAGAATCTCAGAATCTCAGAATCTCAGAATCTCAGAATCTCAGAATCTCAGAATCTCAGAATCTCAGAATCTCAGAATCTCAGAATCTCAGAATCTCAGAATCTCAGAATCTCAGAATCTCAGAATCTCAGAATCTCAGAATCTCAGAATCTCAGAATCTCAGAATCTCAGAATCTCAGAATCTCAGAATCTCAGAATCTCAGAATCTCAGAATCTCAGAATCTCAGAATCTCAGAATCTCAGAATCTCAGAATCTCAGAATCTCAGAATCTCAGAATCTCAGAATCTTAGAATCTCAGAATCTCAGAATCTCAGAATCTCAGAATCTCAGAATCTCAGAATCTCAGAATCTCAGAATCTCAGAATCTCAGAATCTCAGAATCTCAGAATCTCAGAATCTCAGAATCTCAAAACACTTTTTTCCTATGTTTGTTCGACAACATTTTTCTGACCATATAGGAAGAAATATATTTCAAATTTTTTAAAAATGCACATTTTTTTTCAAAAATCCAGACAAGTCTGTGGCAATTAGACAGATCTTACTACCAAAAATATGAAAAAGTGTCGACTATGTTGAATTTGGATCAAAAAAGCAGAGATTTCGGAATCTCAATGATTCTACGCTCATTACGGTTTTTACTTATTTCTCATTCATTTATACATCTTTACGTGGAAATTATTTATTTAGATCATCAATTATAAATAAAAATTACAAATTATCAAAAAACACAGAAACGAAGCAACTTCTTATTTTTTGTGTAGAAAAAAAAGACACGTAAAAAGACAGAAAAGAAGCAACTTCGTTTCTGTCTTTTTCTGTGGGAGAGAAAATAATTCGAATTATTCCTGGTAACTACGTGAACTTTAACTGTACAGAGTTAAAGCTACTTTGAACCTGGAGTTGAAACATAAACTCGAGAAGGTGAATTTGAATGGTGAGCTGAAGGGATGGCGATTTTGAAGATTGGCGGCATCCACTGTGAGTACTTGATACGAACCTGTTCCGAGTTTCATTTTAGCTGCTCGATTACTTTTCAAATGCTGGAGGGCCGACGTTCGGTTCCTGAGAAGTGCATTCTCAAAATTATTTATTCATTTACGGTTTTCAAAAGTAATCGAGCAGCTAAAATGAAACTCTGAACAGTTTCGTATCAAGTACTCACAGTGGATGCCGCCAATTTTCAAAATCGCCATCCCTTCCGCTCACCACTCAAACTCACATTCTCGAGTTTTTGCTTCAACTCCATGTTCAAAGTAGCTTAAATTCTGTATAGTTAAAGTTCACGTAGTTACCAGGAATAATTCGAATT